AAAATTCATGTAGCCCCTTCCTCCTGGCAATTGTAACTGCATAATCCTGAAAGCTATATGGAATTTCACTAGGTACAATATATTGGCATTTCAGTGCTCAGAAACATGTTATTTCTACCAGAAAAGTATATTCTCCAGGGGACACAAGTGGACTCAGCACAACAAATGACTAACACATGTGTATTCATAGCACAAAATCACAAAGGGCTTCGAGGGAAAGAGCTCCCCTTTCGTATCTTTTCAAGTCTCTCAGAGCTGTTTATAAATAAAATTCTTGCCTGGATTTTTGTGGACTCTACTTCATTATATATGTTCAAAACTGCACATTTTATTCCATTAGTTTGCTTTCACAGTCTGTGCTGCCTTTTATTGTAGATACTTCCTTTATTTATTTGGTTCCACTACTACTGAATTATTTAGTGCCAACTGTGTGTACTAAACACCAGATTTCATAGGTTCATTTCTCTGCCCTGATGCTTAACTCCAGCTTGTCCGTAAGTGTCCTGTTCACTGTAACATATTTATTTATCTTGCTCTGGTATTATGTGGCATGGACCCTATCAGCTTATGAAATTGGAATGCATGACTTCATGAAACTGTCAAAACTGTTCCCCACTTTGCCTATACTAATTAAGCAGAAAAAAATGCTTATGAAGATCGTTTTGTGTATTTACTTTTCTTTTATTGCCCTTTCAGCCATCTGGCATCATTCCACCTTTGTAGAAAAAGGCATCCTTATCTCTACAAGACGTCCTTCCTAGTCTTTGTCTAAAAATGCTTGTTGTAATTGTATCATCACAATTTCCACCAGGCTTTTCCTTTAAACAGCCCCAAGAGCTTATTTTCCAGTCCCCACTATGTTTAATACTATAGCTTTGTCATAATATAATATTAAGATAGACAATATATTATTATTATTAATACTATTATTATTATTCATGGCTATGCATACATTAAATTATAAGATAATCACATAAAAATATTATCAATTACAGTGGTGCCTCGCAAGACGAAATTAATTCGTTCCGCGAGTTTTGTCGTCTTGTGATTTTTTTCGTCTTGCGAAGCACGGTGTCGGGAAAGTTTTGGAAAAGCTTCAAAAATCACCAAAGTCTTCAAAAACCTCAAAAAAGGCTACCACACCGCGTGCTATGAGTTGCTCCTCGAAGTCAAGTCGCAACTGTATTAACGGTGTTAAGAAAAAGGAAACAAACTTGCAAGACGTTTCCGTCTTGCGAAGCAAGCCCATAGGGAAAATCGTCTTGCGAAGCAGCTCAAAAAACAAAAAACCCTTTCGTCTCGCGAGTTTTTTGTCTTGCGAGGCATTCGTCTTGTGAGGTACCACTGTATTATTATTTATTTGTTTATTTATTTATTATTTAAATAATGTGGAAGTGCCTCATATTCTACAGGTAATTGTAACCTCTAAAAATCATGTAACTATAGCAGCTGAATGAATACCAACATTTGTAATGGTGCAAGAAGCAGAGGTGCTACAAACCACTTTGCAATCCAGGAATAAAAATGTGTAGCTGTAGGATTAAAGTGCTTATTTGCATTATACATATTCCGTGAAGACTGTTAATTCCTGAAGGATATCAGTGAAATTTTGACTTCTGTAGGAAATGGAGCAGAAACGCAAAATCAAACCAACACTACACTGGTAAAATTCCCATTTAAACATTCTTTCTCATGGTTGCTGCTGAAGATCTTTAGCATGTGCAGCCAATTCACAGCAACAGGATTAACATATAAATTCATCTTCTACTTACATCAGCACATCCAGATGAGGTATTGGCATATGAGTCAACAATGTGAGGCAGCAGCAAAAACAAAACAAAACCCCTAATGCTATTCTACGTTGTATTAACAGAAGTCTAGTGTCCAAATCAAGGTCTAAGTCTAGTGTCCAAATCAATAGTCCTGCTCTATTCTGCCTTTGTCAGACCACACCTGGAGTACTCTGTCCAGTTCTGGGAACCACGATTTAAGAAGGATATTAACAATCTGGGACATGAGCAGAGGAGGGTGACAAATTTGATCAATGGTCTGGAAACCAAGTGTTATGAGAAATGAATCCACTGCCAGAGGTTGTGAAGCTACAGGTCCCCCTTTGCGAGTAGCCTGGGTCCCTGAAGACAAGGAGCCAGCAGAGAGTAATGTCTGCACCTCTGCCTTCCTTGCCTCTTGACTGACATTCCATGATGAGTCCCTCCATCTCTGAAGAGCTGCCAGCCAATCTAAGCATCTGACCAAGAGCCATGCTTGTTCTAATGGATATCTGGCTAGGCAATCACAGCAGCTGCATTTAAGGCTCTGTTTATTACTACAGTAATAATTTCAATCTAGACCAGAAGGAACAGCTCTCTCTGCAGACAATAAAGTCTAACCAAATATTACTAATAGTATCAAGTCACAAGGAACAAGTTGGGTGCAGCATAGTTCTATATTTTAATTTTAATTTAATTTAAATTGTTGCATTGTTACATTTGCTTTAAGTTTTGGGTTATAAGTAGTGATACTTCAATACTATGCAATTATGCAATTATGGCTAGATATAGATATGTGCCTTACGCCCAGTCCTGAAACCCCTTTATTATAATTATTATGAGACACTTAATTTCATGTCACAACTAGAACCCAAAGATTCTTTTGTGCACACTCAAACACTGTGGAAATAATCCCATGCGGACATTTTTATAATGGCACAGCATAAATTGTTAAAATGCAATGAAAATAACGAAAGCTTCTCTGTATCTAAAATAATTTTAACTGATCCAAATCAAATTTAGGGGAAGGACTGTAAGTCAGTAGAACAGCACATGTTTTAGATTGAAAAGATCCCAGGTTAGGGTTATGTAGGACTGAGAAAGACTTCCCAGCTTCTGGGAAATGTCTACTGTCAATTACAAGGGCAGCCATCCAGTAGGGACCCGCTGCACACCTGACCTCCCATCAATCATGTCAGTGTGCTTATCAGAAGGGAGGGGAGGATGCGGCAGGGAGGCTGGTGCAGTGCAAGCACAGCAGCAGAGACAATCCAGCACTTCGGCTGCTGCCCCTGCACTGTGCAGCTGCTGGGGGTCAAGGTGCATGTGGTGCCCCTTCCTAGGGGCCATTCATAGCTCAGTACAGACAATACTGAGCTAGATGAATCAATAGTCTGACCACAGGCAGTTTCCTATGATCCTTGAAAGAGCATTTGATAACAGGAGCAATCAAGCTACCTTTCCCCCCTTTTACTGAAGTAAATGCAAACTGAAACTTTGTGGGTGTGAGTGTGTAAAACTATGTGGCTATAAAGGTAAAGGAACCCTGACAGTTAAGTCCAGTCGCAGCCAACTCTGGGGTTGCAGCGCTCATCTCGCTTTACTGGCCGAGATAGCTGGCGTTTGTTTGCAGACAGCTTCCGGGTCATGTGGCCAGCATGACTAAGCTGCTTCTGGCGAACCAGAGCAGCGCACGGAAACAGTGTTTACCTTCCTGCTGGAGTGGTACCTATTTATCTATTTGCACTTTGATGTGCTTTTGAGCTGCTAGGTTGGCTGGAGCTGGGCCTGAACAATGGGAGCTCACCCCGTCACAGGGATTCAAACCACCGACCTTCTGATCGGCAAGTCCAAGAGGCTCAGTGGTTTAGACCACAGCGCCACCCGCGTCCCATGGCTATACTGATATGTATATCAGGTCTTGTGGAGAGCTTTCACCACTACCACCACAACGTCAGGAATCCTGGTGCCTCAGACTCATTTATCTATACACAAGTACTGGTGTCTGTGTATTTTAAATACCTTCACCACCACCCATTCTCCCAGAAAGCTTCACACAACCTCTTAGTCACGTGGTTAGGCTTGAACATGAGATGAACTTCACCACCAGACACAGGATAAAGTTAATATGGGTTCCAGATAGATAGACTGATCAATCAATAGATTCATACACACACACACACACACACACACACACACACACACAAATATACTGATACTACACATATTGGAGACTTACGGTGCCAGATGAGTTTTGCACCTTATGTGTATGTACTCAAGGGCTACTGCTGCTGACTCTTGCCTCTAAATGGCATTCCCCTCAAGTCACTTATCCAAATGCACCAAAACTACTAATTGCTTCCACACATCTTCTCCTGAAGCAACTCCTTACAGTCCAAATTCCAACCGTCTTTCTCCTATAGTTAACTCCCAATGGAGTTTTAATTGTTCAACTAACTGCAATTTGCTTGATTTGAGCCCTGTCTAGTAAACCTTCAATCTCTCTCTCCAGCCAAAAATGTCACCTAGCAACCACTGTTAAAAGGCTTGTCATGTTGTAACAAAACAGGGCCTCAGGGCTATGAGAGGTTCCATAACGTATCTTCCTTTTAAACAGAAACGTAACCAAACCCACACATATATAGCATTTCTCCACAGTACTCTTGGGGTCCTTTGGAAAGAATTTCCCTCCTGTCCTTCCTGTGTCAGAATTTCTAGCAGCCAGAATCCATTGAGACAATAATGGAAAATTCTTATTATAAGATAAAGATGCAAAGGGATCTAACCAGGATGGCAATATACAATGGTGCCGGTTTCTGTCTGTACCCATGCAGCTGCCCACAAAGGGTTATTATTACACTTTTTCTATTAACTTGGCTGAAAGAACAAATATATTAAATTGGGATGAGATAAGCCTACTTTGAAATCACCAAATCAGAACACACAGGTTTATCTAACCAAGGAGTTAAACAATAAATAAAGAACATGAAATTTCAATCAAGGAAATAAGTCTGTTATATATAATCATCTGAATGAGCAGATAGTGGATAAATCAAACTATCCAGTTCTTAATGCTATAGTTTTGCAATCTATAATATTTTCTATAAAGCATACTGCATAAGAAGGTATGAAGAAACAAAACAAAAACATAAGAAAAGATCTGAATGCTAATGAAATCTATGTACCCTTTGCCTCTGCTCTCCTCTGATAAGGTATGTTGAACTGCCTTACCATGGTATAGCTGTGAGCCACTTTCATCAGCTCTGTGCATCCTTGAGCATCTGCAAATGCCCGGATTCCCAAACAGTTAGATGGATGTAAAAGCTTCATGAGAAAATGACAGCACACTTCAACTACTTGAGGGAGCTGAAGGAGACACGCAGCTGCCAGGAGGTTTTCAATGGTATCTTCCTTAAGTTCCAAGCAACCTGTACAAGAGATTAAGACACACATGCAAATTTTGCTACTCATATGTGTGCATCACTTAAACTAATAGAGCCAATTGCAATTGCAATTAACAAAGAAGCAAGAGGGGGGAAATACTTAATCGTTATGAAAGCAGATGAAAAATAGAAAAACTTCACACGATTACTGAGTCCTCAGCATGCTTGTGTTGGGAAAGTTTTAGAAGAAAATTTAATACTGCCCCCTTCTTCTCTGCACTCCTCAATTAAGTCTCCTTTATTAGGCGTCAGTTCTCCAAAAGAGTAGCATTGCACAGCTGGTTCACTGCAGTATAGAAGAATCTGGCATACAATATTACCCAGTGGTAATATTGCATTGCACTATAAAACAAATCATACATATGAAGTATTGAGTAATCTATTCCTGTGAGATCGGTATCCTAATTTTTCTTTCACTGGATGGAGGACTGACACCATAATAGCTTTGTTTTAATCAGATTTATGAAGTTGATACAAGATGGATTCAAAAGCATGTACTGTAATTGCTAAATCAACTTACTGCCTTTAACCACAAGAGCTTGTGTGTCCAGTGAGGCAGCCTTGAGTCTATATGTGGACTCACTGTAAATCCAAGCGGTAACAATAATAAATTAGGTACAAACATCATACTAATGTAGGTTCTTACCAGAACCAGTGTGCTGTAGTGGTTAGAGTGTCAGACTAGGACCTGGGTTCTAGTTCCCACTCAACCAGGAAGCTCAGTCTCTCAGCCTAACCTCCATCTTACGGTTGCTGTGAAGATAAAGTAGAAGGGGGGCTACCTTGAGGTCTTTGGAGGAAAAGTGGGATAGAGAAATAATAAAAAATATTTGTTTAAGTGATTGCAGATTCAGATGAATGCAGCATGTCGCCTGGGGGAGCAAGTTATGAATGGGTCAACACATTTTTTGAAGGGGATTGAGATGGCTGTGGATTGAGAAGGCTGAAACGGGTTCTAATCTTCTACACATTTTCAAAGTAACTATGTCATCAACAGGACACTGGAAATAAAAGCCAAACTGATAGCAGATTTTTATTCTTATTCTGTTTGACAGTCACTTTATCTTGCCCAGGACAAAGTCAAAGTGGCTTACAAGACTGACAACCACACAGAGATACATTAAAACAAAAGGCAAAAGAAATACATTGAAAACATCCCACCCATTTCTGAAAAAAACACAGGCAGTTAAAGGGCATATAGGAAAGTTTTTGCCAGGCTCCTAAAAATATGTAATGATGGCGTTAGGAGAGTCTCCCTGAGGAGAGCATTCCACAAACAGGGAGCCACCACAGAAAAGGCCCATTCTCGTGTAACCACCCTTCGGACTTCACATGGGGGAGGAAGACAAGGAAGGGCCTCAGATGAGGATTGCAGGCTCTTAAACAGGCCATTTAAAAGGCACACATTCTGTTGCTTTGAATGGGAGAAACAGCTAAACACCTGTGGTATGTAAGGTGTTTTCCATCTAAGCAGATGGACCTTTCAAGGTGTCAGAATTGCAAAATTTATGACAGATTGGGTAAAAGATTCCTATTTTAGAGGCAATGGAAAAAGTCACCCATGCAATGATCTCCCCATTGCTTTCAATGGGAGACACAGATCCTCTTATCCTGCCTGAAATGTCTGTGTTTTGCATACAAATGGCATGATTTTGCCCCTCCAAAGGATCAGACCTACCAAATTGTAGATGGAACAAAATATTTCTCATTTTGAAATAATTCCTAATGTATATTAATGATCTGTCTCTACCTTCCTCTCCCCGCTCTTCCTTTCTCTGGCCTATATAAAGGCTGTTCCAGAGTGTTACATTTCTTCATCTCAACTGTAACAAATGGGGAAATGAATCCAAGAAATATAATTTTTTTGTTTCATTCCTAATTTCAATTTCCATTCATTTTAATTATGAAAATTAATGAAGTAAATTGGCTCATTTTGTTTAGTTTTTCATTAATTTAAAAAACATGAAGTGAATGGATTCATGCTGTTAATTTTTTATTCATTTTAAAAACAAATGCATACTCTCTATAGTGGGGTAGTAGAGCTGGGGCGGAGAAATCACATATGGCAATCCATGCTTTCCTTTGGTTTCAGATAGTAAATTGGTAGAGTCTAAAAAGTCCGGGATACAAATTTTCATGGCCCTCTAGCAGCTATGGTGGCTCATTTACCAGAAGTAATGTTAACTTTGGAAGTATGTACAGTGGTACCTCGGGTTAAGAATTTACATCTGGAGGTCCGTTCTTAACCTGAAACTGTTCTTAACCTGAAGTACCACTTTAGCTAATGGGGCCTTCTGCTGTCGCCGCCACGCAATTTCTGTTCTCATCCTGAAGCAAAGTTCTTAACCAGAGGTACTATTTCTGGGTTAGTGGAGTCTGTAACCTGAAGCATCTGTAACCTGAAGCATCTGTAACCCGAGGTACCACTGTACTCCATTCTGACCAAACTAAGCCTCCTGGTGTGTATTTTGCTCTAGAGGGCTTAGTTTGATCAGAATCAAGTATACACTTCCAGAGTTAACACTAAATACATTACTTATGTTAAATGGTTGTGCCCTGCGGGACTTGACAACTTTCCGCAGGGCCTGCAAGACAGAGCTGTTCCACCAGGCCTTTGGCTAGGGCACAGCCTGACTCCCTCCTTTGGCAATCTTCACAGAACTCTAACCCAATGGTTGCCATCAATTTGATTTGAATTAATTTTATAATGAAATGATTTCAGAATGTTGTATTATTTTATTGTTGTTAGCCGCCCTGAGCCTGGCTTCGGCTGGGGAGGGCGGGATATAAATAAAATTTATTATTATTATTATTGGTTGCCAGATGTGAAATATATTGACATTATTTTCAGCTCTCCTACCCCACTCCTAGAATAAAGAGCTCATGCATACTTCCTTTTGCGACATGCTTTCCAGGCACAGGTCCATGCTTTAAAGCACCATGTCCAAGCAGATTTTTCTTGTTCCAGCGCCTTTCCTGGGAAAACCCGTATTTTACCACAAAATCTGAGCAAACATCAATCCATGGAACACCTGATTGCATTTTGCTCAAATTCAGTGGTAAAAAAACAAAAACAAAAGCCTGCTTGAACATGCAACTTTGAAGCCTGGACCTGTGCCTAGAAATACAGAACAAAAGGAAGTCTGGGTGAGCCCAAAGTCTAAGTCAGCCAAGTGGCATGTTCCATTGGTGTGGATATGACATAGTCAGAAACAATTTTAACCAGATAAGAGCCAATATCTGATATACATACATATATACATATATATATATATATATATATATATATATATATATATATGCTGAAAATATATATATAATGTTTGGTGTGTGTGTGTGTGTGTGTGTGTGCGCGTGTGTATACACACACACACACACACACACACACACATCAGGAAAGGGAGATACAAGTCAGGAAAGGTGGCAATGTATACTGGGCATGTTAAGAAAGTAAACCTATTAAGTACTCACAGATGTTAATAATTTTCTCATTTTTTTGCAATTACCAAGAAACCATTTAATTTTAATCTGATCACTACAGCATAAATTAGGCTAATCACAAGTGTGATGCTCAGCTTCCCACAGCTATAGTTCAGCTGTTCACCCCCGTATTAAAAGCCCTTGACTGGGACAACTTGACAAGAACAATGAACTTGGTTTGTTGAGGAAATTTACAGTTCTACCCTAAATTAGTCTTCATTCAATGACTCATATAAGGCTTACAGAAGCAAATGCCAGATAGAGCGGGGATAAGAACTATTGTAGTCGACGCATCAAATGACTTACCACACAAGTAACTAGCCTCACAAGAGGTCATTGGTGGGGGTGCTGTGACTTTTCTAATCAATGAAGAGGAACTGGAATCTTCCATTAATCTCCTCCTCTGACCTTACACTCCTTTTGTGAATGGGTCTTCACCTTGCAGCGGTAAGCCAGGGCAAGGGGACATCACCTCACAGTGAACACAACAATTTCAACATGGGCTGTAAGCTGCAGTTGAACCAATGCTTTGTGTTACCCCATCCCCCTTATTTATGAAATGGATGGTAGGAGTGAGAAGTCTATTACCAATATAGTGGCGGCAGTGAACAGTTCCAGAGATTTGTAAGTGCCTATTGTTTCCCCACGTCCATTGGGTAGAATAGTAAATGACAATGAGGCATGAGAAAGAGTGACTTGTGTACAGTAATGAACTTCCTTTACAGCACCTGCAGATACAGAGAGAGAATGAATGAATGGATGGATAAATGTATGAACGCACAGCAGGGTAAAATGAATGCAAATACATCATTAAAAGGGGCTAAAACAATGTTTATAATCTGGAAAAAATGAGACAGATGTGAAATGGGAATACCTGTGGCTTGCGCTATCATTGAGTACCTCACTTAAACTTCTTGGCAGCAGTTGGGAGCTCTGATAGGTAATTACAGATTCCTCTCAGACAAAATCTTGAAAAGGTTGCCTGCAAGTATCCTTCACATGTAATTGGTAATCTTGCCTTCAGTTTTGTCAGACTACAGTATATGTGTGTTAAAGGAATCAAAGAGATTGCAGGAAAAAAATTATTGTACCGGAAATACGTAGGAAAAAGATATACTAAAATACTACTTTTATTACCTCCTCCTCTTTGTGTGTCTGTCACCATTCACTAAAGACCGGACCAGGCAATACATTCACATAAATCTAAGTCTGTGTGGGGAGGAAAGGGGATTGCACTTGCTAGTTCCAGCCTGAGTATTCATTGTGCAGAGTCCCTGGGAACAGGCTCTGCTGGCACATTCTGTACCCTTAAAAACATGCAAATCCTATTGCCTTGGTTCTATGCATAAGTTTGGGTTGATGCACTATTGGGGCGTGGGGAGCGGAAGAATAACGTGCAAGCCTTTGCTCAGGCTCATGAAGGCTCATCCACGTAGTGCTAAACCATGGTTTAGTGGTTCATTCAGGACACGTTTCTACACATCTGCATGCTGACATTCTATGTTCAGGAACTAAGTCCTTCTGGAATATTATTGCTTGAGGAAATGTAGTTCAAATGGTGCATTGGGAAATCTTTCCAATGTAACTCTGGCCCTATTCCAGCCATGGATAGCCTGGTCCTACTAGCATGGCAACCAAAATACAAAGAAGCAAGCATGCATAATATTCAGATTGTTTAGCCTTTGCCAAGGGAGAAACAGAAACAAGTCATAGATCTAAAAAAAATAAAGTTTTTAACTAAAAGAATACTGAAACAGAAATTAACTGGGAAATTACAAGGATTTCCTAGGAGAAAGAGAGATGGCGAGGGAGAGATGGGGGAAGGAGAGATTGTGAGGTGAGCTGCTGACACAAATGCACAGTACAGCCTTAGCCTGAACAAGATGAAGGTGGGAGAGTGGGATTGTTGCAGGAATGAGGGGAAAAAGGCAGGAGCATTGAGTTAGAGAGGAGAGGAGAATGATTACATTGAGGACCTCTTTGAAGACAACAAAAAGGATGATTATCTCGGGTTGTGAGACAGATGCCAGTCATCATCTCAGTTGCCTGGGTAGCACTCAGGGGAATAACAGACTAGAGGGGCGAAGGAGCAGCACAACTCAGCAACATAGAAAGGCAGGATAAGTGTGTCCAAGCACTTATAGACTTGGGATTTAAAGAACTCATAAACCAGGTATGGGAAACCTTTGGCACTTCAGATATTGATGAACTACAACCTCCGCCATCCATGGCCACTGGCCACGCTTCCTGGAGTTGATTGGAATTGTACTTCAACAACATCTGGAGGGACAAAGGTTCCCCACGCCCTGGGGTGGCCCTGGGAGATTGTTTCCAGGCGATACAAAACAAGTATGTTTGTCCTCGGCTTGATTAACAAGGGAGGAGGGGAGGGTTTGTAAGTGACTGAGGTTTTCTTAAAGTGGCTATAGTCAGTGGCGTAGCGTGGGTTGTCAGCACCCGGGGCAAGGCAAGTAATTTGCAACCTCCTAACCCGTGGATTTGCGCCCCCTAACCCTAACCCCCAGATGTTGGCCCGGTGCGGCTGGCCCCCCCTGCACCCCCCACGCTACGCCACTGGCTATAGTACACTATATTGTGAGAATGCCTTTCCTCTTACAAGGATTCTGGACAGCCAATAGGTGTACAGTGAAGAATCATTACATTATGGAGAGAAGCAGACTGATAATTATAAGCTCAGGAAGTACCACACAGGGGTGAGGAACCTCAGGCCCAGGGACATTCTCCAGCTGCCATACATTGGGGTGGCATACATTCATTTTGGTCGGTAATAATCTGTGCAAGTCTGCTTTAAATTAATGTCCTATTGCTTTGTATGCAACCAAAGATACATTTTTTATCAATACATAGCAAATGATGGGCCCCTTAAAGTATTACGGAGTCTTGGCCTTTTAGAATCAATAAACGTTTACAACAAAATCATAAAAAGGAAGTTCAGCAAACTGCATGTATCTCTGCATTACATTTCCATTACAAACAAGTTTACAACCAGTGCTTGGGTGGCAGGATATTTTTGACACAATCCCATTATGAATACTAATATTATTTGTGTCACCTTGATAAGCACTAAGTATAAACAACTTCTGAAATTGTACAAAGGACAATATATAATAAGATATACAAGGTGTTCAAACTGTTTTAACCCTAAGGACAGGTGCATTCAGAATCTGACCTCTTCCTGTATCTGCCATCTAAAACATTTGAAGGCACCAGATTTAACTAAAACTTTGTAAAAACCATTCTCTCAATTTCTGCAAACCCTTAAAATAGCTAGGTGGAACAAAAGGAGTGCAATGGAAATTCTTATACAATGGTGCTATTTTAGAAACTATTGCAAATGTAGTTGCTTTATTCATCTGTATGAGTGCGTCAAAGAGTCTGCTTCAAAAGCTTCCTGGCAAGCTCCATTCCCAAACTCTTTTTATATCATACAGATAAGGCTAGTTTCACCACTAGGATGAAACGACCCTCTTCCAAGAGTTATTGTTTATCTCCTCCAAGTGTTCTCTAAGAGATCACCAGGGCTGGCTAATGATACTTTTAACCCATGTTACATCTGGGCCAGTTCTGAGATGTCAGAACTTAAAGGTATATAGCTGGACAATATTATTCTCTGCTGCATATGGAGTCCAATCCAGAGACTCTTGTGCTTAACAACTGGCTGATGGTCTGCCCAGAGCAAAGAGTTTATTGGCGCTATTAATTCTTACAGCACTGGCCACTTCTTGAAGGGAAAGCAGATGCTTGGATTCAGATAATCTGTCACTGAACATGTGTCCCCCAACACCTGCACCTCTCCTTTGATGAGAAAATCCAGATGGGTGGTGCACAAATGAAAACCTATTTGAATAGTCAGATAGATGTTGCCATATTGGGTGAAGATTTATTCTCCTCTGCATATTAAAGCGTACATATATTTTAAACTAGCCACTCTTGGTTAGCTAAGTAATTGGCATTCTGGGGGAAAATAAGCATAAATTGCTGCAATATGTTATTTATACATTTGCATAATACATACCATGTGAATTAAAGTGGCAATCCTAATGAAACAGTAATTTCATTTATGCTGTAATGAAAACTCTGTATTGAGTTATCATAGTAAAACTACATAGAGTAATCCCATTATAATAAGGGAATGTTTTAACAAATATCTTAATATTCAATTAAAACACTTAATGGAAGTGGGAAATTTAGTTAACATAAGCATTACAATGTATATGTGTGTGTGTATGTGCACACACACACACTGTTTCTTTCTCAGACTAAACTTGTTTTGCTTTAGAGATATTCATTACATACTGAAGTTTTAATTTATTTTGCTGAGGGTGCTGCTTGGTCAGAGATACATTAAAATTTCATTGTCAATAAATGCATGCAATTTGGCAGTTTAATTTTCTACTCATCTTCCTAATACCCTCCTTCTCTAAGGGTAGTATGCTTTATTTAAGCTAAAACCTTATCAGTTCTGTGCAGAGCTTGATATTCTGCTTGTAACCACGTACGTTTGTGAAAGTCTCATGTATTTTTTATACTTCAGTGAACAGGGTGTATTTCCTGTATCATCTCAGGATACTAATAAGGGTCTAACTGCACATTACACACCAACATATGTAGCAGTTCACTGGCATTAAAAACCAATGACTCTATCCCAGTTCTGGAAGATGCAATTTAGAGTAGACATGGGGCAGGCTAACCCCTTTCCCGCTCCAAACTATAGCATCAACTACACATACACACGTACACATCACAACACATTTGATCAAGCATTCTGAAACCATACACTGCATACTTCTTTGGAGAAGGTCCATGATCACATGCACAAAGCAAACCTGCATGAAGACCAACAACTCTTAGACCTCAGAAGGGTGACTGGCTCAGGTTGTTAAGGGTCAAGGGCATAATTCCCTCCCACAACCACACACAACAATTTCTGATAACCAAAGGCCCTCCCACATCTTAATTACAACTATTAATTCCTCTCCAGTGCACAGGCAACTCCAACAAAGAGCACGGGGCACATAAATACTACAAAGACATGGCATTCAACTTTCCCTCATCTTTTTGCAGTTCTTTGCACTTACTATGGTTCAGATGTGTCTTTGCGGTTAAAGAAGTTTCCATTTAAGAAAATATAATTTAGTGCATATTATTCCGTACCTGTGTATGCAAACTGAACAAGATCCCAGAGTGCACTTGGGTCAATGCCTTCCATTTTGATCTCCTCTTGCTTGGCTTCACAAACATCACTTGTAAACATGGCAGCAAAGTAATCAGAAACAGAACTGAGCACAAGTCTGGGAAAAGAAAAGAAGATCACAAGTATTAATTAATCCATTACATTTCATATTAACTGTTAAACAGTCCTGTTCTCTATGTGCTCAGCTAGAAGCAACGTGTTGTATGCAAATATGCAGTCAACAAGGTAATGATGGACCCATATTGAGGATGATGGAAGTCCCAATATATGGAAGAATTTTATTTTATATATAAAAATTTCTTTGTATGTGAGGTGATGTGTTTTATTTATTTTTTGTTCTTCTGTGGGGAGGGTTTTAATACATAAAATCAATAAAGATTTTTAAAAAAATTAAAAATAGAAGCAACCTTCTGTGAAATCCAAGGGTGGAGAACTAGTAGCCCTCTAGATGTTGTTGAAATCTAACTCTCATAAGCCCCAGCTACTCTCCACCCCTGCTTTAAGAAGATGAAATGTTAAAAAACAAGAATGTCATGGAAATCAGGCACACTAGTTTGACTCAGGTGGCAATCCTATGCACGGTTATCTAGGATTAGGACCAATGTATGCATGTATAGGATCTCACTTTAAGAAAGGTTAATATTTCATGAAAATCAATCAATTTAAAAGTAACATTTAAAAACTACACATTACCACACGCCAAAATTAGTAATACATCGGTTATTTTGATTTAAGGTCAATCAATGTCAAACAGCTATCAAAGAATAAGCATTAGCAGGTCAAGGAATGTTGGTACCACACAAACAATAATAGCGTTCCATTTGTCCTGTGATGGAAGGAATAGGTAGAGAGTTCCTTGCCTGAACTCAACCTTAGCTCCTGAATGGTATCATTCTTTCTATGATTCAATTCTGGAAGAAGAAGAGTCCTGCTGTTGAATGTGAGAATGGGACCTGGAATGGTCCCTGGAAGGTTTGAAACTTCTAGAGTAATAATGCTCTCTGTATCTCAGAGGTGAAGAAGGTGCCTGTAAAGCTTTGTAGGTCTGTCTCTCTATACTGACTACAAGAAAAAGAGCAGTGTCTCCCATTGTCTCTAGGAGACAACTGCCCCATTCTGTGATAGTCTATGCACTAAGAATATCCTTTGGGGTGGGTCCTTGCTAAGTGGTGGTCAAATATCTTCAACCCAGTCTACAAAATCGAGTTGGCTATATTTGCCCTCAGTCACCAGAATGGGTGGCAGAGGAGAATGTCAAGCATCTTCGTGACCCGCAAAGCTGGGCTAAGAAATACAGCCCTCCCCTGATGTGGGCATTACCTTGCATTTCTGTAGCGGGAGAAGGGTCTTGGCCATATACATAGCCATGGCAGTGACTCCAGACCCATTCAACAAAGACTGGAGCAGGATGAGACCAAAGTGAAGCTACTTTCCTCACGCCAAACTTCAGCCCAGGTATGTTGGGAGGCACCCAATTGATGGCAGCCTGAGCATCCAGACAGAGGCTTCATGCTGGCTTTCATTGAGGAGGAAAAGACCCATTTTTCCTGAAGCAAGTTGCCAAAGCAAAGGTCTGGGTTTCTCTTAAACATATATTTCATATGTACATAAAAATATTTTACTCATTATTATTTTTGTGTGAGCAGCAATTTTTAAAAAAAAACACCACATTGGTGAACTACCACCACAGCTAGTGTTTACCCATGTGAAACAAGAAGTGAAAGTTGCCTCATAATTAATCTTAATTCTGAGAAATGACATCCTATTAAATCATCCAATATTCAAAAGGAAAATAAGGATGCCTTTGGACTCACTGAATTCACAATGAACTGTTGCTTTCTGCACCTCAGAGGGCTGCAGGTGGTGCTAAATCTTGGCACTGAGGCATGTTGACCTATTCAGCAGAAAGGTCAGTTGTCTCCTGGATGTCATTTTCTTCTTTTCAATTCCTGCTATGCTACAGGAATAAACTAATGAACCTTGTTTCCTCCATGGAGTGTTGCATGCTATACGCAGCCCAAAGATAATCCATCATTTCACAAAATACTTTGATCCAACTTTTCGAAGCCAGCATTTAATTAAACCTACTACTTCCACGTGCACTATCCAGGGCGTTGCAGAGATCTGAGCAACTGGAAAATCTACCACAATTCCTTGTTTCTCAAGGAAAAGTTAACATTTCAAGTGATCTAAGTTTCCCTCCACCCCGACCCCACCTGGTTTTCTAGTTCAACAATGGATTTTATTGTGGGAGGAGTTGCAAATGTACAGTGGTGCCCCGCAAGACGAAGGCCTCGCAAGACGAAAAACTCGCTAGACGAAAGGGTTTTCCGTTTTTTGAGTCGTTCCGCAAGACGAATTTCCCTATGGGCTTGCTTCGCAAGACGAAACGTCTTGCGAGTTTGTTTCCTTTTTCTTAAAGCTGCTAAGCCGTTAATAGCCACTAAGCCGCTAAGCCGCTAATAGCCGCTAAGCCGCTAATAGCCGTGCTTCGCAAGACGAAAAAACCGTAAGACGAAGAGACTCGCGGAACGGATTAATTTCGTCTTGCGAGGCACCACTGTAGATATGAAGCTTCCGCCCACTGCTTTCAATTACCAGCATTTGCATTTATCACCTTTATCAGAAAACATGGATCATCTAATGTTATGCATGAGAAATTAGCATTCTACCATAATCTACCAATAGGTATGATGTAGTTCCACTGAGGTGGAAAAGCAGCCCATATACCCCTTACATCCAGCTCTAGGAGCTTAATTTCTGTAGTTTATTGGTGGCTAAATGCTCATACTTTTCCTGGAGCTGGTCAAAAGAAAAAGATAAAAGCAGTGAACTATTTCCCTTGCACTGCGGTGCTGCAAGTGGGCCTGCGATACTTCAAATGCAAAGCCTTGCTCTTTTCTCATCCGCATGGGCCCATGGTAGTTGCAGAAGTGCTTAAAGAAACATTGTTGCAATAAATGTCACACGATAAACATCTGCCTTGTGTTCTGTTCCTCATATTTACAAGTTATTTCACAGCCTGAAAATTCGATTTGAAGAGGGTGTGTAAGGGGTGTGTAATATATAGTGCACTATATGTGCCAGTAATTCTTGATGGAACAGAGTGAGCTGTTGACTGCAGATTAGAAGTCAGAAATAATATACAAGCATGCATGCACCTTTAAGTACGAGGCAAAAATGTGATGCAGTTTTTTATTTCATGGGCAAGCTTATATTTATTAAAGCAATTTTTTCCGCTTCAAAAAGATTTGATTGCTGTTGAACTGAAATAGTCAGAAAATCAGATTCAGTGTTCAGACACACAGGGATACAAATATGTCTACTAACCCTTTAGATAAAAATGGTAAACAGAAATCTCCCCTGCCCCTGTAAAATCTGAAACTCCTCCCACTGTCCAGCAAGTACTTTATCACAGTTTCCAAATTTGGCAAGTATGTAAGATGTACCCACTCTGAACTGTCTAAAGTAAATCAGAGCAGCAACATAAAAAAGGTTTATTTTTATTATACCTTGGTCTTATGTTCTTTCAGATGAACAGAATCGAGCATTTGAAATATAATGGCTTTCCAGTGACTTCATGAGACTTTGGCTGAAATGCAGGCCAGGACTCACCTAACACACTGAGCCAGCAAAAAAACCAAAACAACAACAACTGGCAGAGGGAGTTCTACTTGCACAATGAGACTCCCCCTTCTCTGCACTCATCACACTTCCCTTCTGTCCTCCAAAATTGGCTCGGGGTGTGTGTCCAAAGAATCCCTAGAACAGTATGTGTGGGGACAAGAGGGGGGATCATTCCATGTGACAAGCTGCAATGTTTTTGCAGACAGAACATTTGTAATATAGCACATGTTGAATTCCACCAATAGTCTTTGAACGTGGGCTACAGCTGAACATCAGAGGTACGTGTCTTGTAAAATCTTTACGAGGAATTAGTTCTGCAACTTTGCCCTTTTCATATATGTCACCACTACTAACCCAAGTTTGGCCAGGTACCAATGTCACATTTCTTTCTTATGAATATACCTCAGGGTAGAAATTAATCCTCAGCACAACTGACATTTGGCTATAGGACGAATTTGTACCCTAAGGGCCATTATATGCAGTCGGGGTAGAAAGCCACCCCAGCTTATTTTTAATACTTATTTTCAAATTGAAATGAGTTTAGTGACAACGTGTCCTTGATGACTCACCACAATAGGTATCTTAAAAGCTGCAAATCACTGCCTTCTGGTTATAATGTTTGCAGGCACTTGAGTACCTGTTCTCAAGAGATTCTGTTCAGAAGCTTTGAACTGGTCAACTTTTTGTGGGGAGGGAGGAAGCAAGAGACTAGCACACCATGAGCAAGACTGCTAGGCAGCCAGGTTGTGCAGCAAGATTCTCTGAATTCACTCTGACTTGCTTTCAACATACATGAACAAAAAGATTTCAGGCTCTATTTCAGGCTCTTTGTATCCCCCCCTTCCCCCAATTTATACATGGTTTCCCATTATTTTCCTTCCTCGGTAAATAAACACCAATAGTTCCCAAGCACAACTTGTATTCTTTTGTTGTGGTTAGCAAATGCAGAAGAAAAGGTAGACAGTACATGCTTGCGGTAAGTGACTACTACACCTTCTTGGCTCCTTTTCCCCCTTCCCCGGAAGCAAAGGTGTTATGGTGATAAACTATCACCATCTTTTATCCCTCCAAGGCTGCCTCTGAAATCTTTCCTTCCAATGATGCTACCAGATGGTTAAAAGAAGAGGCATCTTTTCCTCTGATTTGGAAACTGGAGAGGTAAAATATGGTACTAAGTGTTGATAGTAGATGATCTAGTTCAGTGGCATTACCCTCATTACCATAAAAATGGTATTAGGAGTTAGTTAGTTGCCTAGGCAGCAAGATTGCTATGCAGTTCACATGTACATTTTTAGACTTGATGCTGGAACTCCTGACATGTAAGCAGTAGTGGCAGCGCACTGTGCTTGTAGGGATATACACCTATGATCAAGAGTGAAACATTTCTCGAGATACGGAGCAAAATCTGTAAGGGCATGTCTGCAAAGATGAGGCTAAATCACAGTTAATTTACCATGTTTTATCACCTACCTATGTGCAGGTATCTTACGGTTCCCAGCAATCAGGATAACATCACATAGTTGTTGTTGCTTCAGGTAGCTTTCCATCTTCCTGAAGGTTTGTTCAGCATGGTGTACAGCTTGATAGAACTCCTCAGAACTACTTGGGTCCATGTCACATGGAGGTGTCAAGGAATGGCTGACTGCTGACAACCTGTAAGCCCAAATAAAAGGCAAAGGTTGTGGCTGGTTAGTCATGATGAAAGGCTTCTAGGAACAAGGAGTTAGTCAGATTCTCAATGCTGAAAGGAATAGAACTGAAATGTGCCCTTTACACAACTCACATCAGCCCCTGCTGGCATAATACATGGTCATTCTCATAGATATATGAGAAACCATGTATGCAAGAAAACTAGCTTCTGTGCACATATTTGTATTTGTATTTGCATATAGAGGTGCTGGGGACGCGGGTGGCGCTGTGGGTAAAAGCCTCAGCGCCTAGGGCTTGCCGATCGAAAGGTCGGCGGTTCGAATCCCCGCAGCGGGGTGTGCTCCCGTTGCTCAGTCCCAGCGCCTGCCAACCTAGCAGTTCGAAAGCACCCCGGGTGCAAGTAGATAAATAGGGACCGCTTTCTAGCGGGAAGGTAAACGGCATTTCCGTGTGCGGCTCTGGCTTGCCAGAGCAGCGATGTCATGCTGGCCACGTGACCCAGAAGTGTCTCCAGACAGCGCTGGCCCCCGGCCTCTTGAGTGAGATGGGCGCACAACCCCAGAGTCTGGCAAGACTGGCCCGTACAGGCAGGGGTACCTTTACCTTTATAGAGGTGCTGCTTGCACAAGAGCCCCAGCCCAATCCAGGGATGTGCACCTTGAGAAGACTAGAATCTCACTGATCCCACATTGAGAGGCATCAGAAGGCTGGACCCCCCCACCCAGCTATATACTCAAAGACACCTGAAGGTGCACTCTTCTGTTGTTTCCAAAAAACATGGATGCCAACAGACTCATGCATGTTTTTTATAGGGAGCTTTTAATTCTACAGCCAGTCTTCAAAGTAAACAGCCTATATCTGTATACTGTCTTTACATTTCTACAATACTGAACTTTAAGTTTTCTCACTGCATACCAACTCTTAATGTAATACGAATCCATTGTGGATGGTGTGAGAGTGAAGAGTAGGGGTGGCTGGCCCAGCAAAAGGGTCAGTGACCCCCCCACCCCCAAAAGCTGTTGGGAAAGTGTTCATGCAACAGAAGTCTGACAGCTGGTGACACCTCTCCTGTTCCTTACAGTATCCTGCCTGTATGAGTCAGCTTCTGGGATGGGATGCGCTTCAGGCTCATGACGCTCACCACTGACATTGGTCATGACCACTGGAGCTGGCACTCAGTCCCGGTTAACAACATAAAACACACCATTATTCAAAATAAAGCAGATAATAATTACAGTGCATCTTTTTTTCTCTTTAGATAAATGGATCACTGTAGACACTGTAGTATTAACTTTAAGGAACTGGGAACCTCACTGGTGATTTTATAAAAGTGTATTTATTTTCCCTTCCGAACAGTTGTATTCATTGCTAAATAAAATTTGACTTGGAGCTGAATAAACCATATGGCTGAGCTTGCTTGAAAATGAGAAAGTAACAGGTTTTCCTGACAACCAGATGAATTCTGTTTGGAGAGTTCTCCAAGGGAGATGTATTGTACAAAACTGGGTTTGTGTCTGAACCGTCTGTCATGTTATATTCTCAGGAATCAGCATGCCTGAACATTATGTCAGTTTTATAATAAGTTAGCAGATGAATAGCTCCATCCAAAAAATATTTCTGCTACTGTTGAGTCCTGTTATTTTGTCTACATTAATAATAATAATAATTAGTAGTAGTAGTAGTTTTGGGACTGAAATCATTTTAAAACAATTCAGTGAACTTCTGCTATATCTAAAAAATATATATGAGTTGACAGATTTTAAATAAACAAGCGTGAATAATGTCACCACTTCTCAAACTTCCTAAAGCAGGGGTCACCAACCTTACTGGGCCATAGGTATATTTGGAAATTGGAGTAATTGTTGTGGGGCTTATACACACACCACAGCCTATTCTGTTGGCTACAATTGAATGCTCCTTTCAAGCCTAATATATAGATATATATTAATTACAGAAGAAAACTAGCAGTGGAAATGGAGATGTTTATTGTACTTGGCATTTTAAAAAGGTTGCCTGAACTGCTTGTTACGACTCAACCTTATGAATGGCAAAGTAACTGAAACAGTTCTTGGGAGGCCTTCTAAACATAGCTGTCAACGTTTCCCTTTTTTAAAGGGAAATTCCCTTATTCCGAATAGGATTCCTTGCAAGAAAAGGGGAAATGGTGACAGCTATGCTTCTAAAGCCAACAGCCCTATTAGTAAACAACTGTGCAATACTTTGGTTTCTAGACTGTCTTATCTGGCTGTAAAGAATGCTTCTGGAAGTGACAGCAACAAACTGTAATACCCGGCATACTGGGACCCCTGTGAGGGCCCATGACAGCATGAATTAGGACTCCACGTGAAACACCTGCCCTTTTGATGCCAGCGACAAAACTCCCACTGACATATATTATCATCCTAAGCTCCAGCTACGTTACCCTGGCTTTATCTGTCAATTGTGTATTTATCCACATTTTTTGACACTCAGCGAGTCACGATAATCAAAGCAACCATCACATAACTGTGTTGTTAAGAATATATCTTTTCTGAGATCAAGGTAAATCGAATGACTTTTCCTCCTGCAAGAAGGCTTTTAGCTACATACACAAGAACCTTCCACAGTTATTGACCTGAGAGTTTACTTTTCCTGAATTTTAATTTATTTTAACTAATGTTGACTTAAAAGTTGACTTCAGGTACACTAATGTTTGTATGCTACTCTACAACCCATTAAGCCTTCTGCACAACTTATGGTAATGTCATTTTGCCAAAAGACTAAATACATTTCTTTGTCTGAAATACGTAACCGAACCCTGATTATGTGCACCAGAAAGACACATTTTATTGCATGCCAAGGCAGACCTCAGATGAAGGAAAATGCTCTGGGGTCGACTGCGCTGCTGGTGTCGGTGCAGGCCCCCTTTTATCCTTTAGGAGTGGACTGGAGTGAAGACTGCTCATTCCCGGTCCGCTACTCTTGCCCCACCCCCCAGACCGCTGCGGATAGGCCAATTTGAAAAGGGGTTTTTGACGGGAACCCAAAGCAAACTCCGCGGTGACTAAGGGGTGGGCGGAGCAACGGTCAGTGGAGCAGCATGGCTGCTGGAGGACAGTGGGGCCACACACTGGGCCACAAACCTCGCCCACCACCAAACCCAATGAGCATATATTGTTGAACATAAATGCCTCTCAATCATCATCAAATTTACCTGTTTTCCAAAAAGCTTGCAACAAACCAGATATGACGATAGCATTTTTAGCAAACTAACTTTCTCCTGGTTAAAACCCATTAACACAAAAAATGAAGGCCTAAAAAATTAATAAATTGGAAAGCTGTGTGTGTGTGTGTGTGTGTGTGTGTGTGTGTAACTGACTTGCTCTCAAAGTTTGTAAATGTTGGCTAATAACATAAAACAGGTATCGTTGCCAGCTAAATCTCATTTGTTCTGTTATTTCACTGGGTGGCCTCATTAAAATCCATTTCAATTGGGGTTTAGGCCATGTTTTGTAATGGGAACTGTATTAGTAACCCATATGATGACCTCTGTCGGGATAGAAAAAGGGAAAATGTGTTGCTATTAATTCTGCTTGATCTCACGGCAGCTTTTTCGATTGTGGTATTTTTTATGGAGCAGCTGTCCAAGCTCCAAGTGGTTGGCACCACACTGCAATGGTTCGATGTGGCTCATAGTAAAGTGGCAGGAACAGTCCACTACCTCTCACTGGCCACTCTCTTCTCTACCAGGATGCACAGAAGATGAAGGGAGAGGATGCAGCAACTTGCTTGCTTGGCCTTGCAAGGGATTTTCCTGATGTGGAAGGAGGAGATGGAGGAGATACTACACATGGCAATAAAGCATGACAATTCATGACAACATATCAGTGATCCGTTACAGGATTCAATTTCGGAACTAAATGGACAGTGTGAACAATAAGGAGGAAACAAGATATTATTGTAGAGAATATTAATATCATGAAGATATTACTGCAGAGGAACCTGTGACCTATTCACATGCTGACATCCAATAATGAACGTGGTACCTTGCAAAAGGTTCCTCTGTTTCTTTCCCTTTCAGCTATGGGGAAGAAGCAGAACACTTTATCCCAGTTTCCTAACTCCAGAAATTACATTTTCTGGGTGGGAAAAAAAAATAGGGGAGGAGTCTGCAGGGTTTTTCACACATCGGCCAAAAAAGTATATGTAAAGCCATCTCCGGCTTTTTTTTTTTTTAAATAACATACATTTCTTATGAGCAGGTAATTAGATCTAATTATATAATCCTCTAGCTAGTATTTTAATCCAGTCTATTATGTTTATGAAGTCTTCTTTGTTGATTTTTTCCTTGTTTTAACTAAAGGGAATAGCAAACAGAAAAGGATGTAAGAGCATTATAAAAACAAATATACGCCAACACCCTAGGGATTTCTTCAAATCTTTTTCTTGTAAATAGATTTGAAAGAAAAAGATGTGCTATTTTGATTTCAAGAGGGAAAGGCAAATCACTTTTTTTCCCAATGAAGACAGAGAAATCTTACCCATGTAAGCACTTTATAGCAGGCTGTGTAGCCCAGTGGTGTCTGCTTGAGACTGGCACAGGCTCTCCAAGATCTCAAGTAGAGGTCTTTCCTACTCCCATAACCGGCATGTAACAACAACTGATGAATTTCTTATTTCTAGATAGCATCACACACCTTTCATCCAAGTCAATCATTTATGATCAAGGACTGACTGCTAAATGCTGAGACAGGCTTTGGCTAGGGATTATAGCTGAGTGGTTAGGGGTTTGATAGGAAAGGCAACACAGATTATTTCCCTGTGGGGAAGGACAAGATCCTAGAAAGGGTCTAGAAGTGTTTTACTGGCTTAGTAATACAAATCAACATTCTAGTAGAAATCAGTTTAATTAGAAACAAGTTTAAATTGGAAGTTATATGTACATTCTTAATTATTTCTGATTGAAACTATTAAGTTCTAATCCCCATCTTGGGTCTTTAAATAAAATTCCAGTTTTGCACCCA